GAATATAGGGATTTGGTAGGTTTCCATTCTAAAGGCTTTTTAATAAATATGGCAACATTTTGTGACGTTTCATCGTTGCTGACGCGTAGTGAAGTGTTTTGAGAGTCATGTGAAGGCAACAGAACTTGCGTAACGCATACGGTTTTTTGTTTTATAGTTTTTCATTTCTCGATGCGTCCTTAATGTGTCGGAATATACCGCGTTTACCCTATAGTACTTAAAAGGATACCTAATATATTCACAGACTTATTTAAAAGTCTCAAACAATAATAATCTTTCTACACAAACAGTTTATCTCTATTTATAGAGCAAAGTCAACTATCAACTTTCATACATGTTTTGATCTCACTAGTTGACTTGGACTTTTGCCCTGCGGATCTTAACATTTTCCTGCTAGACCTAGTGTTTTGCAGAAATCTGGCGCGCAATAGTATGGCGTCAATATTTCAACCATCTACGCATGCGTGTCACTAAAACCAAGCTTAATATAAAGGAAAAAGTTGAGGGGGTGTCGGAATTACCCATGGTGTTGGAATATGGTGTGTGTACCCTATCTCTTCTGGACTCTTCACAAAACTGAAAAATGTTTTTTGATTTCTAAATACTAATACTACATGTTATATGGTTCATAAATGGTTTACATATATATTAAAGTTTTAAATAATTATTTTTTGGTCTAGGTATTTCTTGTAATTTGTTAAAATGATGTTAGGGTATGAATAATTTTGGGCACAAGTGTATGTAGCTAAATTTAAAATTCTTTGTGTATCATTTAATGTTGTGAAATTGCAGCAATCCCATATATATCTCATTAGTTGCAATAAAGCATGTAAAGTCATGTTTCATGTACCAATCATATCATGTGTTATGAATCTATTAATCAACAAACTTGTTACATTCTTCCTATCCTACAAAGTTCTGCTACCATATTAAATTTTGAAAGGTGCCTGCAAAATAGTGTGATTACCATACTGAGTTCAATTATATATGTTTGTAACTGCAGCAAATTTACTGTCCAAATATCATGTACTAGATTATAACTAAACTGATGCTTCAGTGTAAGATTTGGTGTGCATAGATACAATATCTTATATTCAATATCACTTTATATTTGATCAATCAGTTTGAAACTTCAATGTGTCTGCCATTTATAAGTTAGTCAGCAAATACATTTGCCGGATATATTGCTTAGTTTCACGTAATAAGATTTCCTGCTGAGTGGGTGAACTAAACAAGAGGTAGGGAAGATGTTTCATGAACACACGACACCAAAACCTCAGAGAAGGTATAGACAGACAAGGTTGGGGCGAGCTCTGTGTCGTCTACAACAGCAATGTTCCCCATCAACATCTAAGTCCCCACCGTGGCTACAGTGAGTTAAATTTTAACATGGCATAGGTAATATTTTACATATATATAACTTTTCAGGCAATAATCATGTTTTGCTACTTGAAAAATTGGTTAAATAATGTGTGCTGAACATGGTTGTAAAATCTTGATATTTGTTTTCATCGATATATTGCCATCTTCATATCAACATAAACATTCAGTTTAGTTTAGGTTACGTAATAATAATTTAATCATTGTGTATATATGGGAGAAAAAAATTAAGGTTGATGTTTCCCCAACTTGAATTGTTAAGCATTTTAGTTCTGTATAATTGAGAAATTATTTTTTGTTCAGATCTGTTCAAGAGCCTAGTGAAAAGAATACAGCTGAGACCTCTGGTGCTTCACCCACAGTACTATCCACCAAAACCTCCTGCATCAACATGAACCGAAAGAAAATTTATCTTGGGCGCCCACCAAGTTCAGAGTCATCATCATCTACCAATGGCTCTCATTCAGTTAATTCAAAAATCAACTCCATTTCTAATGTCAATACAAATAAAACTATTGAGAGCAATAAAAGAACATTGAATTTGAGTGATGGTTTAGTAAACAATAAGAAGCTCAAGACCTCAGTAACTGCTGTTGTGTCTCCAATTAGTGAGGTAAATAGATATTGCAATAAAAAATTTTCAATTGTACTGAATTGAAGTATCAGTAGGATGGTTTAATTTATCATAGTGCTATTCAATTTAACATTTTCATGACTTTTAATCATTTTTTGTTGATATTTAACCTGATGACTTATGAATATTGCCACATATTGCATGTACTTTTGTCTTCATTTCCATTTTGCATGTTTAATGCACTTTTTTTTTGTATTAGTGTAAGTATTATTTCTCCAGTCTCAAAGATTTTTTGTTGTTGAATGATCCTATTAAATAAATTTGTTCTTATATATATATATATAAAATTATTGTTGTAACGTGTGGTATAACAATATGCTATTATGACATGCTAATTTGCGTTTCTCACTGCAGGAGAAGACCGCGTCCAAGCCGTCCAAGCACCCTGCTGTGTCATGGCCTTGAATATCCCTGCACATTTGTACACATGAAATGCCTTCCTGCCTTGCGTTGTTGTTTCTTCTTGTGTAGCCTGTTAATTGGAGGTGTGTCTCTCTGGTCATTTGTTAATGTCAATTTTATGGTAATGATAAACGTGTATGGTTTTACTCTTTCAATTATGCTAGGTATAAGTTGAGACTCCTCAGAATTATTGCATCAAATACTTTAGAAAATTTGTCACTATTGCTCATAAGGCTCCATAGAAATTTAAGCTCGACAGGTTTGATGTTGTGATAGTGTTAGTAACCTTTACTGCAAATATTCTTCTTAAATTCAGGGGATCATGCGTGTGTAAACAGAGGATCTTCAGAGTTTTAATTAAAAAGTGTACATTTAGATGACATTATAATCAGCTATAACACACAATTTAACACAATGTTGTGGTGATTATACATGTTTTTTGCTAATCAAAATTTTGTATTGTAAGAATTGATTGTAACAATTATAGTTCCATTAGAATGAGAATTCTCCAGCATCTCTGATAGATGAAGTTGAGGTTCATTAATGACTTGGGTTACTTTAGAGAATCGTTTTCAATTGAGAGCTGTCAAGGACAGGCATTTCTCAGAGTAATATCACATTTATATTAACAAGAGTGTGCTGCTGTTCATTTGTGGAAGATGTTCAAAACCACTTCATGAGTCAAATTACTTCTTGATAAGTATGATATAGCATGATCATCAAGGGCCATACTATCAGAAATGGCTAATGGGTGTAGACGTCTTTTCAACCTAAACAAACCAATCGCGGACTAAAAATTGACCATTACATGAATATATTTAGGCTGCTATGCGTAAGCAATTTGTGATAATATAGCGCTTGGGGAATTAAGTTAACAAGAATTTGTTCAGCAAAGATGCACGCCATTGCCTTGCAGTCCAGCAGCCAGAACGCTGCTGACGAAGGCGCTGTAGGTGACGTTCCCTGTGACGGCTCCCACAGCCGCAGGGTTCTTGCGTTCTGTTGTCACCTGGAAACCTCCTGGTCCTCCCACCTCCACCTCCACTACATGCCAACTGCTCAGCCTGCCATACAACGTAGTCAGTCAATAAAACCTCCATTACTTACTGACCAATATGCTACCGCAACAAACATCTGCTCCTAGTATTCAACAAGTTGCTGTGAAGTCTGCAGTATGCATACTTATTGGTCAACAATCCTGAAAATATCAATTTATTGCTGAGCTAATGATCATTACCATCATATTTTATTTATATTCAACTTGAGTTTTGATGAGATGTATAATCTGCGTTTTGTATAGCGATTATCGGTGCCGTCGAAGAAAGAGAGCGCATAGGTACTAAATGGACTATAATCATTGGGAATACTAGGTGCGTCCTTGCTTTGGATGATTGTTAGCCATTTATGTGTGCATTAAACCTGAATCTCTTACGTTTGCCTTTTATGTATTCCCTGGTGGCTTCTAACCAAACTTCAGGATGCTTGATGTTTTGTAAGATTTACCTTAAGCATAATATTGGTTCTTGATATTGATATACTGCGTCGTTTCAAGGCATCTACTTACTCAACGTTTTTTTATCAGAAACGTTTCTTCATAAGAATGTATCTATCTAGTGTACCAACTTATTTTCCTGTTGAAAGATTTACATAATTTGAGGTCCTTAATATTTCATTTGTATACAACTGACCACCCTCATTGAAAGAAAGTTCCTTAGTTAAGAAATTTACATTGAGATAAAAGTATTGGGTAATGACAACTAAACTCAAGACCAGCGGTGACATTGAAGGCAGTCAGTAAAACAACTCACTGAGGGTCAGCCACGAGTTTCGCCTGCACGCCATCGAAGCCGAGGTTGTGGGCGGCAACAGCAGCGGCCGCCATGGTGTTGACGTTGTTGGGCGCCACGGCGCACAGCTCGCGCACGCGCCCTTCGTATAGCGTGACCGCCTCAGCGCGCACAGACGCGCACGTCTTCTGCAGGTCCCCGACGAGCTTGAAGCTGCTTGGGTGTTTCTTCATTGTGATCTTCAAACTCTGGCGAAATTCATTGCTTGTAGTGAGCGATATCTTTGGTAATTCTAGGGATAGCATTTGTTGAATGGGTTATTACCTCTATGTAATAGAGGTTATAACCCATTCATGCGTTGCGTTGTTGCATTTATTTTTTATTTCACGTTTGTTCGTACCGGTTCAGTGGAACAATGTTGCTTATAATAATTATTGAAAAGGACGTCAAGTAACGCAGTGTTTAGATTACACTCAAATGTGTGTCATGTTTCTTCGTCAGTTTAAGGACTCAGAAAAAAATATTGAATGCGATAAGACGTATTTTGTGGTGCTGATAATTTCGTGATCAGCATTGTTAGTCATAATTTTTTCTCCGAAGAATGAGCAAAAAATGCCTTTATAATGTATGCAAAAATGTTCAATTGAACAGTTGTACTCTTGCCAATAGAAGTAATAATCTTACTTCGAGCGTGCCTAAGTCCGCCATCTTCCTGATGTCGGTGCCGCCCCAAAGCGCCCCAGCGGGAAGGTAAAGTCCGTAACTCCCCGCGTTGGCTTTTGCCCGTAAACGCTGCTCCAGCTGCTCGTCTGCCAGCGCCGTGGGCGAACCCATGAGGTAGTGGGCCAGACCCAGCAGGTGCTCCCCGTACTGGAGGGAGAGAAACATGAGGTAGTGGGCCAGACCCAGCAGGTGCTCCCCGTACTGGAGGGAGAGAAACATGAGGTAGTTGGCCAGACCCAGCAGGTGCTCCCCGTACTGGAGGGAAGCATGAGGTAGTGAGCCAGACCCAGCAAGTGCTCCCCGTGCTGGAGGAAGAGTCTTTGTTTATTAGTTTTAATTTAATTCAACATAATTGAAATCTTGCCGCTTATATACTATCCCTCACTGCTGCTTTACCTGCCCTCACTGATGCTTTACCTCGCTGGAAATGTACGGATGCGCAACTTCAACGATGACGTCAGCATTGAATGAGCCAGCATCTTGTAAGTCGCTACAAATGTATCTGTTGAAATTAATAAATAATAATAACAAGCTAAGTTCGATGATTCATACATGAAGGCAGGTATTTATATGATCTAAAATATCGCGAACACTGTCTTAATTGTACACGATAAGGATTGGTAACCTTCTATCCATTAAGAACTCTTCGCCCGCAGCTCATGCCTTAGATTTAGAATTTAAAAAATGAAGTTGAACCCAGCGAACCTGAGATATTTAAAGTTTGCAGATTCTGAAAATTAGCTCACATCTAGTAACTTGAGTGCAACAGTTGTTTCTAATTGCTGTTGTTAAAAAAAATTGTAAGGCGAATAACCTCAAAATTTGTACCAAAATATTTTTTCACTAATCTAGAACTTCATCTCTTGGTCCTCTATTAAATTTATCGTTCCGTTGTTATTTTGACATGAGTAACCATCCACACGGTCGATAACTTTGATATTTTGAATGAGGTGATGTTAATCACTTAATTCTTAATATTAAAAAACTAGTTAATTAAAATTAACGTTTCCTGATGTTGAATGAGAAACGCCTACCCAGTCAATTAGCATGATACCGAGCTCGACGGGCAGGGTGGCAAGGTGGGTATAGTTCAGACTACCAAGATTGAAGCAGTGAGTTGCGTGTTCGAAACTCCAGCAAGAATTTTATGCTGTCTGAAATAGCTGACAAACCAGATTTGACCTATTCAGCGCTGTCATTTTTATAACTATGAGATACCTTTCATCCAGCTCCTGCAGGCTTGATGGCGTGCGGTTCCAAACGAAGGCGAGTTCTAGTTGTGGATGAGCCAGCACTGCTTGCGTCAGGTGCCGGCCTGTGAACAATCATTAAGATTGTAGGACGCACGTGAAAGAATTTTTATGACAAGAAAGACCATTTTATTTCCAATGCAAATATGATTTTTTCCGACTTTATTAAATATGGAATCTTGTGTGAGGTGTAACTCACCAGGAAGTACCAGCAAATGTCATAAATCAGAGAAGTAGGCACGCAATATCTTAAGGAGGCCAGAATCACTATAGACACAAAACAATTCATCATTAGGTGCAGGAAAACGTATTTAATGCTCACCTAGATGTCCATAACCGATGATACCAATGCGTTTTTTCCCCATGTTTTGACGGCGAATTATCACACCACGAACTTAAACTGAATTCGAGCTCGCACGCTGTACAAATTGTCTTCTTCCAGCAAGTATCGGGTGGTGATTGACCTTTGAGCTACTTTTTTTCTTCTTCCAGCAAGTATCGGGTGGCAAAAATTTGTCTTAGTTTCTCTTTCCCAGGATGTAGTCAACTGAACGAAAAAGCAGCCAGTTAAACTCTTTAAGTCCAATATCCTCTCAAGGTCATCAGCACCAGCATCCAAAACTGGTTTGAGGCGATTCGATGGCAAGCAGCATATACATAGTCACGATTTTATCAGTGAAACAGGAATTTTCAGCCACTTTACTCATGATCATGAATATTTATTCCTTATTGTTACTTCTTCTTTGTCACCGACTGTCCGATTAATCTCAAGAGACGTATAACAAGTCATGGTGCAATTGTTTCTTTCTAAAATCTAAATAGTTACATAGTTGAACCGCTATTATTTATATCGTGTTGCAATATTCTTTATCCTAATTAGGTAATATTTCAAATTAATTAAAATTTTTACAGGAATGAGAGCCATTAATACTAGTATAAATTTGTTCAGTTGTGCTATTTGTGAATTGTTCCTTCCGAATTGTTTCAAAGTGCGCAATACAGGTTAAATTTTAATCGTTCTAAAAAGTGACAATTAAATGTTTATGCACATATTTCGATTGCATAGTATTATTTTCCATGGTTTTAATCATGAATATAAATATATAATGCATTTTCCTCACCGTAGCGACTTTCTCTCATGAAACACGAAACCTTTTTATAGCGGCATGTCGAGAAATGTGTCAGCTTCAGTTGCTACATCTCACCATCTCGATGAATGATTCACACAAAATTTTAAAATATTTTCACATTTTGCGTATATTTTTGATATCTCAAGTTTGATTTTAAAAATGTAAACTAACAATTTTGGTTGGTTGGGGCACAAGTGAAAATTTTTTCTGCTTAAGAAGTTGGTAAAAATTCACCTTCCTAGCTTAGAACCGTCAATCGAGGAGGCAAGGAGAGGAAGCATGGGATGAATTTATTTTCAATAAGTTAGCTATTCGCTTTTAATGACAAAACTTACTGCTTATAGATTTTTTATCCATCTAAAAAATACTGCGATATTATAATTTGGACAATATTTGAAAAATATATTTGAGGGCAACAATAACGTTTTTCGCTGGCTTCGAATATGTCATCATGAGAGACATGCTAGCCTAACTCGTGATCTGAATTTTATTCTGAAAGTCTTACATTGGACGTGTAGGCTAGTTACAGGAACAGGATACAATATCAAAAGTTTTCAAGTTGTGGGAATCTTCTTTAGAGATATGCATTTGACGTAAACGTTTCTCCCGTTTACATACAGATACATAGGTATTTTCACTACCGACGTCGCGACGTGTCGTTAAGATGCTCTTATTTTGTCCTCCTTCCCCTAGCATAGCAGGCAGCACAGCACAGTGTGAGCACACCGACACCAGTGACTGCCTGTGTCAATATCGCAACTAACCTATGATTTTAAACAAACAAAACAAGTACTTTGAGCTACTTTTTTCTGACCAGCATTGTGTTGCTTGAATAAAAGAGTTAAAATACTTGCAAATTTGCAACTTGCAAAGTAGTGGCATGATTGCAATTTGCAAGATAGCCTGATAGGCTAGTAGGTATAAATTCTGCTTCAAACTTGTTGCCTAATGTCACATTTTTTGTTGAATTGTAATTTGTCTGCTCAATTGTGTGGTGTCTCACTGGTGTGTGACAATTTGTTACATTTTATTCTGCTGTGTGAAACTTGTTGGAACAGAAATGAAGAGGAAGCTTCTCTCACAAGTTGGAAATAAAAAATTTTTCCAGTGTAGTCACTGTAGTTTACTATGGTATTGTTGTAATAGAAGTCTGAAATTTGTTTTCTATTTTTACAGGTACCTATTAACTAATTTGATTCCTGTTTTTCAGTTGCTGATTTGAAAGTTCTGACTTGACATATGGCTCCTAGCATCCTCGATGCAAGTTCAACTAGCTAGTTACAACTTACGTAGTCTCTAATTTTGTTGAAAAATTTTCTGGCCCTCAATTTTGTTGCAAAATTTTTTTGTCAGTGGGTTAAAACTAAAAATCTTGGTGTTGTGGGAAGGATAGAATTTACTTTTTCAAACTCCATCTACCTATAAAATTTTAGTCCTTGTGATGAATCGATGATTGGCAATTGACGTTTTAACCTATCGCTTCTTGTTTCTTAAATATTTATTTCTAAAATATTGTTCAATGTTAAACATTGTCAGTTTATTCAAAATCTTCTATTTATTATAATGATTTACATCTTGCTTTTATCATAATAATTTATACCATACTTCTTTGAATTTGCCTCAAAGTTAGAGCTGCCTTCACATAAAGATTTCTACTATAACTACATCTTAGTACTAACACTATATATAATATATAATATATTTCACTTTTGATCATACTATTTTCCTTCATGTTGATATTATTTAGCACTGGCTGTATTATAATTACATTTCATTTTAATTATTTGTCAATGGCAATAGCATGTTTTTCTATTTGTTCATTAACAAAATGAATTCCTAATTTATATATTGATCATAATAATTCTCTTCAGTTTACATCAGAATTTGTTTGATATTTTCATTATCATTTGTTAGACTGGATCACATAATCTATATAGGAAGGACCTATATTCTTCTTCAAGATCATCAGTGATCACAATGCCGCTGTTTGGCAGTAAGACGCCCAAAAATCCTCCTGAAGTGGTGAGGGCTTTGAAGGAAGCTCTTACTTCTTTGGAGCGATCTGATAAGAAAGCTGAGAAGGTCAGTACCTGAACAAGTTGCTACAATCTTGTAGAAACTTATGTGTATTTAAAAAAAATATATATTCAAATCTATACCCTAGTGATGAGTTTATTTACTAGATGTTTTATATTACCTTATAATATGCTCATTTTTTAAGGTATATTTGACTGGTTTCAACTATGATACACTTCACTTTTATTTTTTTTTGTATTTTTACAATGCACTGATCCATAGAAAAAAATACCAATGGCACCATTTCAAGAAATCCAATTATCACCAAAATTGGATTTATAATTGATCATTCTGTTGAGAGAAAGAATTGTATATGACAATGTCGTTCATTCTAAAGATTGATAATTATGAAAATCATACATCTGTTTCAAAAAGAAACTTCTAACATTGATATTTCAGTTGTCTCATTCTACTCATAGACTTTATATGACATCCCCAAGTACAAATAGGTGATTTACTTGTGTAGTTTTTGACATTCACATCTTTATGTTGATATATGCATGTGATTATATTTCCGTGTTGATTATTAGCATTTGGTATTTGTTTTCTAGGCCCAGGAAGATATCAGCAAATGCTTGAGTCAGATGAAGACTATGTTGTACGGCAGCAGCGACTCTGATCCTCCCACGGACATCGTCGTGTCACAGCTCTCACAGGAATGCTACAACACCAATCTTCTCCTCCTACTCATCTCTAATTTACACAGAATAGACTTTGAGGTTAGGATTACTTTATTTACCTCTACTCTACTGACCTTTAGGCTGACTTTGTCAACCAATGCTTCAGAACTGAAGTCTTATAGTCTTGAGCAGCAAGTTTCACATCTAGACAATTTTAATTACAATTTAGCTTATGACTGGCATGTTATTATACATATGTAACTGCAAATAATTTTGCTATTGCCAGCAAGTATGCAAAATAATATAATTATAAATTGTGCACAAGATTATGCCTCATAAATTTACATTCTTGAGAAATAGGAACTCGTGACTTTGATCATTATGGAGTAGTGCTGCTCACATTCACACTTGACTTCCTGTTGCAGGGCAAGAAGGATGTCTCTCAAATCTTCAACAACATCTTGCGTCGACAAATTGGCATCCGCACCCCCACTGTTGAATACCTCTGCACTAAACCAGAAATACTATATACTCTGATCACTGGGTGAGTGAGCATGTATATATACCCTCATCACTGGGTGAGTGAGCATGTAGATATACCCTCATCACTGGGTGAGTGGGCATGTATATATACCCTCATAACTGGGTGAGTGAGCATATAGATATACCCTCATCACTGGGTGAGTGGGCATGTATATATACCCTCATAACTGGGTGAGTGAGCATGTAGATATACCCTCATCACTGGGTGAGTGAGCATGTAGATATACCCTCATCACTGGGTGAGTGAGCATGTAGATATACCCTCATCACTGGGTGATTGAGCATGTACAGCATCAGTAGAGTGAAGGCTTTATAAGACTAGCATGAGGAGAGTATGTCTCAAATTGTCTCGTATATAGTTTACTCATGCTTTTTCTTCTATGGTTGCACTCCAAAGCTGTGTTGCTTAGTAATCGGGTTTTTCTTAGGTTTTTTTATGCAAAAAATATCGTTGTGGTCTCTTCCTAGTGTGGTATATTAGCAGTCCTCATGTTTCAAGAACAAAAGATCCACAATACACTAATAAATATTTTATTTTCATATATGAACTTGACGTATGTGTTTACTGCTATATATACTGAAGCACCTGTAGCATATAACAGCTGCTATAGACTGAAGCAGCTTTAGCATATATATAGCAGCTGATATATAATAAAGCAGCTGTATCATATAGCAGCTTCTATATACTGTATCATATAGCTGCTGCTATATACTAGCATATGGTTGCTGCTATATACTAGCATATGGTTGCTGCTATATACTAGCATATGGTCGCTGCTATATCCTGTAGTGGCTGTAGCATTCAGCCGCTGCTATATGCTGGAGTAGATGTAGCATATAGCAGCTGCTATATATACCTACTAAAGCAGCTGTAGCATATAGCAGCTACTATATACCTACTAAAGCAGCTGTAGCATAAAGCAGCTACTATATACCTACCACACATACAGTAGCTAACAAGCGTTGCCCCCACAGATACGAGCAGCCTGACGTGGCCCTGCACTGTGGCACGATGCTGCGCGAGTGCGCCCGTCATGAAGCTCTCACGCGCATTGTCCTCAACTCCAAGCTCTTCTACAACTTTTTTAAATATGTTGAGGTCTCAACTTTTGACATAGCCTCTGATGCCTTCTCTACGTTTAAGGTTGGTGCATTTTGTGTATTCAAACATAATACCAACTTTTTTGTGTCTCTTTCCTTTTTTATAAAATACCATGTAGTATGGATTGGAGAACTTTGTCATTGCTTGCCAAGGTTTAGAAAAAATGGCATGGGCTTCAAAATGCGTTTCATTTTCGGTAAGGTTCTAAATAGATCGAAGTGATGGAGCAGAATTGACTGGGTTAGGCACTTAGATTTATTGTTCAGTTTTTTCTTCTAATATTGTGCTTCGTCATATGACGAAGACGTTTGATGTTAATTCATTGATTGTTGCTGTACTGAGTGTCTTGATTTAGGCCAGTGCTATCTGAGCATGGCTCACTGATGGCTGCTAGTGCCTGTATCATGATGAGTAGCATTAGCACTTACTCAACTAAAGATTTATCAAGCTTTTCCATGTTAATTCTTACGTTTTAAATAATATGTTACAATGCAAATTCCACTTGAGCGTCCTCCGTACTATATATTCTTTTTATAACCAAAATTTAATTAATGTACTATTTTGATAATTCTTCATGAAATGCGCACATAATTGTATCTTTAAAACTTGTATAACAATTGACTTGTCATGATTGTGATACTTTGTGCTGCAGAAACTGCAGACGAACCACTAGGGTTTAGCCTTGTATAACAATTTACTTGTCTTGATTTTGATGCTTTGTTTTGCAGGAACTGACGAAGCACAAGGGTTTAGTCTTGTATAACAATTTACTTGTCTTGATTTTGATGCTTTGTGTTGCAGGAACTAACGAAGCACAAGGGTTTAGTCTTGTAAAGCAATTGACTTGTCTTGATTGTGCTGCAGGAACTGCTGACGAAGCACAAGGGTTTGTGTGCGGAGTTTCTGGAGAACAACTACGACGAAGTTTTTGGTGACTACGAGAAGCTTCTCAATTCTGACAACTACGTCACTCGTCGGCAGTCACTGAAACTTCTCGGCGAGTTGCTGCTCGACCGCCACAACTTTAATGTGATGAAGCGCTACATCAGCAACCCCGACAACCTCAAGCTCATGATGACGATGCTTAAGGAGAAGAGCAGGAACATCCAGTTTGAGGCCTTCCATGTCTTCAAGGTCAGATAACAATTTCCATAAAAACAAAGGGTTTTTATAAATATTTATTCTGATAATAATTCATTTAGCTTCAATTTTATTGTACAAGCCTGTATTACGTAAACTCTTTCTATAGTTTCTTCAGTTTTTGTACTGAAAAAATTACACAATGGAAAGAAGTTTAATCTTTCTCCCTAATTGCTGTTTGCTGCTTGTTGTCACATCCATTAATTTTAAAAACATGGGAAAGAAAATTTGAATTGAATCATCTGTATATACTGAAAATTTTTATTGCAAATATCTAAAGCAAAACACAAAGATTTAAAACCCATATTATGATGGGGTGGTTAGTATGCTGAGTGTTGAGCCAATCATTTAGAAGGTTGCTTATAAATCAGTTGTTTACTTTAACAATGAGTATTTGTGGCATCTGTAACAGCTTGTGCCAGACCTTTCACTCTTCTTTATTAGTGATCATAGATCGGTATGTTGAAGAGCGTGTACTTCCTTAGCTTATTAATTCTATACGGTATAGAGAGCAAACTATTGTACTGTAGGAATGCATGACGCTACACCTCAAGTAAGACATAAGACTAGCATCTACTGCCGCCTTTAAGACTGCTAAATTTCCCTCAAAAATATATACCAACCATAAGTTAGATGTTACTTAATATTTTTCTAGTAGACTAGGCAATACATAGCAGCAACTCGGATAAAAAAATGTCATAACGCAATATTTTTCAGGTGTTTGTGGCCAACCCTGACAAGCCCCGTCCTATCCTGGAAATCTTGCTTCGTAATCAGGACAAACTTGTGGAGTTCCTCACTCGGTTCCATACAGACAGGACTGAAGATGAGCAATTCAATGATGAGAAGGCCTATCTCATAAAACAGATCAAGGAGCTACGGCCCTTGCCGCCTGAGTAGGCTTATCACGCAACCTGTTGAGCGCAGCATTACACTGCAGTTGTGCAGAGTGTACAGTGCAGCAACATACCAGTTGTGTGCTGTACCATACAGTGCAGCGATATAGCAGTTGTGCAAAGTTCATAAAAGTATCTCTGCCTTCAGTATAGAGTTCATCCATTTACATTTTGAATTGGGGCTTAGGTTTATAGTTAGTTACTTACTATATGTGGATAGTGTAAGCTGGATTAATGTGTGCATTTTGTTGTGATTAACTTTGAGTGAAATAATGGCTTGAGATGGGATGAGTTTGTACGATGTTAAAAGCAGAAAAGAAAGCTCGTGTTCATCGTGCGTGGGTCTTGAGTGAGAGGAAGGGCCATCACGTTACACTCGTTTTGTAATCACTTGATATGTGCGGGTTTAGCAACCTAAGACATGAATGATCAATTGGTGTGTAAGGTTTCGTTACTTGTTTGTGCACATTGTTACTGCGTTATTTATGGTCTCTTATTATCTTCAAATGTGTTACAATTTCACCAATGGTCAGCTTGTTTTCGTGTACTTCATGAAGCTGTTAGCAATTCTGCATGCTGCAGATAATATATTGAATAATTAACCTTCACACTTATTCCAGCACTGCACATTTTGCAATGTAATTTGTTGCATTCGGTCATGTCAAACTCATGTGCAGCCAGTCGTCTTAAGAATAACATGTTATGCAGAGACATTTTCTCCTAGACAACAGTTTTTAGTTGGAGGTCTTGTGAAGGTTTGATGCCGAGTATATGTTGAAAACAACTAGCACTGAAAGAGTTACCCCTTTCCATCCTATTCCAAGATCTTTTGGCCAGAAACACCAAGGCATCCAAACCACAACTATATATTTTTACATGTAAATTTTCTTATAATTCATATTTTAAGTAATCAGGTTTATAGTTCAAGAAAAAATCGCAAAAAAGCGTAAGATCGAGTTTGAAAAGGAAGAAGTATCAAGCTTAACAGATTTTTTTTATTAGTTAAATCCCCAGGGAGTAGAAGTTGATCGGCAAGTAAATTGCATAAGTTCCATGATACGAACCCTAACTAGAAATTGTTTTTGTGACTCTAAGGCAATTCAGCGGCGTTGTGTGTGACAGGCTCAATGTAATCTGAAGACTAGCGTCAAGGTTTAAGCTTATTGATGAAAATAAATAAGTTGTGAACGAACCAAACCGCCTTGCTAAAGCTGTTGTTTTGGCACGTGTTAGAAGTTTTAATTCTGCTGGGGCAGTAGAACTGCGGGTTGGCATCTATTAGAACTTGAATACTAAATTTGTACATGAACACATTCTCTTGCATTTATGTTTACATTCTTGTTTTACTTTATTATGTCAGTAATTCCAGCTCTGGAGTGTTAAAACCTTACTTGTAAGATTAATTTCGTTACTTTTAATAACTTACTTGTGATTGGTTTGCATTGATTGTCATGTGCCCCCATGTTGGTCTAGCAAGCTTAGTGCCAAACAAAAAAAGTTTTAATGAGTTTTATCTTGTGGATAGCTGCTATGTTTAATTCAGTATTATCTGGATGATACAGATGGTCTCCAAGGTTCTTCATGAACTCTGACGGCACAAATTAATTACAGTTTCTGAGATAGGCAGACGAAATAGCTTCTATTCGCTTTTGTGATGATCGGATGTTCTTCTTGTCATGCCTACGAATGAGCGTTCTCTCCCTCTGAGCCTTTCTATGAAAAGTAATGGTCAAGTTTTATGCGTCGAATGAGAAATGACAGGCGTGTAAATCTCCTGTTGGATCTTGCTTTGCTGTCCCATTCAGACCTTTCTTGTACATCCTCACATGACACATTTATTTCTAGCTACCTAAACTTGAATGTTGAATTGATCAGAACTAATCCGATGAGTTCTCATTTGTGTAACTAATTTTTTACAATCTGTTCCTTGGGTCCATAGCATAATGTTCACTGACTAGCACTTGTAATGTTCCTGTACAAAGAACAGGTTTATTGTGCTCTTAATCCAATTAATAGTAATAGTCCCCTAATCTAACATGTCATCTAATCTAACATGTCAACTGTCCCTCAATCTAACATGTCAACTGTCCCTCAATCTAACATGTCAATTGTCCCTCAATCTAACATGTCAACTGTCCCTCAATCTAACATGTCAACTGAGGCGTCATTGACAACAATATGGGAGATTTGAGCTTATCTGGTGATTTCTTCAATATTTTAATCCACAAGAGAAAGTAACCAATTTACGTTGTTATAGCTCATGAATACAGAAGCTCCCGTTTACGGAAGATTTAATTTAATTTTGTCTGGTGCAGTTTGGATCCCAGATGCCTAGCAGATGCGAGAGATTGAGTTTTTCAACTTGTCTGAAGCGAGAATGCTGCAAACTTGGCTTGATCTTGGTGCCGTCTTGTCTAATTAGTATTTGCATTCAATATGAACTTGAGAGCTCGAATTGTTGATAGATGTGCTATTGTCATGTCGTCCTTTCTGGCTCTACGCTTCTCCTTTACATCCTCGTAACTTATATTATGTACATACATTCAAACTAATGTATTCTATTTAACCTCCTATTATGAATTTCTTGCCGCCGTATGTCAACACATACTACCATTATTCCCGAAAGTCTGGTACATACCAGCAACTATTAGTCTAGTATTTAATGTTTTCGGATGAAGTTTTAATTCTTTTAAATAAGCATCAAGCCGCAACTTTATTGCCACGCTTTGTTTCGTCCATTCCCTGCCGATGGGAGCGCTTGGCTTCTTGTGTTGCGGTTTTCCTCAGTGAGAGTTGCTGGACACGCTTCCTCTCGCTGCCTTCTTACTTGTGACACCCATAGTATCAGAAAATGGTGTCTCTTCTTGACTCATCTCTTGCTATCCCTCTCACGTCCCTTCCCGCCGTAGCAGCGTGTTTCTCATCCCGTTTCTTTGACTTAGAACTCATTTTGTTGAGACTTTTCGTTCATTTATTCGTTACGTTTGTTTCTGATAAGTCAAAACTAGGGCCGGCCGAGCCAGCCGTGAGTGTGCTGCTCCACTTGTGTGGCGCGAAGAAGCCTCGGTCTGCTCCTTGAATGCGCGAGTGTTCTTGGTGCATGGTTTCATTTCCAGCTTTGCATCGCAATGTATTGACTTGTAATGCACTACTGCATTGCTTTTCATTGCTGTGAAGTGCAGCCATTTGCAGCAATGTGAAGTGCTATGTGGCGATCTGTACTATCAGTTGTATGCGCCGCTCTCACTCGTGAGCAGCGTTTGTGGCTTCCCAGACGACTTCTCTTTTATCCTGTCAGGTTAGAGACAGGAACCTCCTCCCGTAACGTGCTATTGTCGCCACTAATCCCCAGGCTTTGCTTGCAAATGATTTGACGAATAACAAGCGTCGGGACCGAGGTTGTCCTATATTCAACTTAGACGTGACCTTAAGTTCCCCGATGCATTAGTTTAAGGCCTGGTAGATGAGCGCGGCCGTTGTTCTCGAGTGTTGCAACTATCAACTTGCACTAAGAACTCTTGTAATTATTGAGTGTTATCTCATGCATGTGTAAATAAAGATATACATGTATATTGTGCGAACAATGATGTACCAAATATTAGATCCACAATGCATACTTGAGAGCAAGCTTTACCAGCAGGACTTCACGCAGGCGTCAGAAACTGCGTAGCGCACGTGGCATCTAGAAGCAATACGGAGAACAAATGCATCGTTAACCTTTTTGTCTATGGAAACTTCTATGTCTACATTGCTCGCCGTCAATGGCATTCGTAACTAATGAGGTGCTAACGAGAGTTGCTATGAGTATATAGAACTTACGAGATCACCGGTTCAAGTTGTGCTCTAGTTTCGTTTTATTAACATGGTTTCGTGATATTGTCATTCTTAACCACGTTTTGACATCTAAGTGAGGTCCCTGGCTCCCTGCAACTGTTTCCTTCATTCCTTCATTTGTTCCTCTTGGTCCTTCATTTTTAATTTCGGCATATTAATTTTAGTCGGCAGCGGCTGAGGAAATTCTTGATCTGAGTCCACTGCGCGCGGTAATAACTCTGATGTTGCTGCAATTATACTGTATTCCAGTACAACTTATTTTTATGCTTGACTAACTATGTATTCGTCTAATAAATTTACTTAGCCTTACACCCGCATTAACATTTATCTAACATAAACATGGCCATAGTACCGCCTGGCGACCCGATACCTTTGTGTCGTCGAATAGCGCTGCACCCTGCGAGTGGTATATTGTCCTCCTGTATGGCTTCAATCTATTCACTTCATGGATACATTAATGTGCATTCCTGCGCGCTTGCTTGATTTGTTGTTGCCTCCCCTCCAGGCCAGGCTCTGGTTTTAGTCGCGTGGTTCCAAAATATTCTGCCTCCCTGTTTTTTACTTTGTCTGCCCTTACCTTCTTATTTTTTTATCGTCCCTTTACCCTTGCCCTTTACCTGTCTTGAGTACATGTTTCATGCCCACTGTTGGACATTATGTCTTGTATACATGTTTCATGCCCACTGTTGACATTATGTCTTGTGTCCATGTTTCATGCCCACTGTTGACATTATGTCTTGTATACATGTTTCATGCCCACTGTAGACATTATGTCTTGTGTCCATGTTTCATGCCCACTGTTGACATTATGTCTTGTATACATGTTTCATGCCCACTGTTGACATTCCCACTGTTGACATTATGTCTTGTGTCCATGTTTCATGCCCACTGTTGACATTAAGTCTTGTGTCCATGTTTCATGCCCACTGTTGACATTATGTTTTGTGTACATGTTTCATGCCCACTGTTGACATTATGTCTTGTGTCCATGTTTCATGCCCACTGTTGACATTGTCTTGTGTCTATGTTTCATGCCCACTATTGACATTATGTCTTTTATACATGATTACATGCTCCTTCACCCCCTAACTTCGTTTAAGTTTTACTTATCCCCTTAAATGTATCTGTTTGCTGCGGTCTGGCGCTATGCTGTGTTGCTTCCAAGATAACCTTGCAGGCTTGCACTAACTACCTTCTAACTTTAATGAACTGTCCACCTAACGGTCCTCAGTGATATAACTTCCGAACTCCCGCTTTTGTCATCGTGAAATGGATGTAATTTATTGTGTATGCTGCTTTGATTTCCCTCTAGTTTTTCAGATAAAAATCATGAACAAATAGTCTGGTCGTACTCCTTTTCCCGGCTTGCGAATCCTCAAGACTTGATGCTATTTAGCAGCGTGTGCGTCGATACTTAGTCTTCAGGTTTGAAATTCACGGTCAGTTTCGACTATCAGGAAACTTTGGAGTAAATATTTTGCGTGTCATGTGCGGCGGTTGCTAGTTATTATTTTTTTTCAGTTTCGGTTCTTTAAAATCTTCGAACCAAGTCAGACTGAACTTTCACAACGACGATTTCCGCGAGACTCGTCCCATGATGTAAATCGTACTTTTACTTTTTTAAGGTGTTGAGAGATGGAAGCACTCTGGAGATATGAGTCACGTAATGGAGAAATGAGCATACAGGTTTTGCGTTATAAATTGATGTCGTGGTCTAATAGTGGTCAAGAGCTGTAACGATCTGTCATGTGAAGACGTCATCGTTTGAACAGCTCGAAGAACCTAAGCTGGTACAGCTTCCAGAGTAGTGGGGTGATGAGCAACTGCCCAACCTGAGACATGCGGCCTCCGGGTTGCTTGTCGGAGACCACCACTGCCCTGCTTCGTATGGACCATCACGATCCCTTCCCTCAATAAAGCAGCCCCCAACACTTCTGGACTGTAATACTATCAGGTACTAGACAGATCACACCCATTGAAGTAGATCAAACAACCCATAGGAAAATAGCCGAACGTATATGGCCTTGCATCGTCTTCAAATGCGCGAAAAATGTCTGCATCACTCGGTGCTGCTTGCGTGGTCCATTCGAGGCCGTTTGACGCATGTAACGTTGAATGAAGCTTGAAACACTGCTCTGTCTTGAAGTAGAGCGCCATGGGGTCAGCGATTTTCATACGTTTCGTCTGCTTAGAAATTACGTCCATTACTCATTCTCAGAACTCATGGTGGAGCCATGTGTCATCTCCGTAAATTATCAATCTTTAGCATGTATAAAAACAACAGGTTCTGCAGATGGAATTGTAATTCCATTCCTTTACCTGCCATAACAATGTAAACCCATTAACCCACTGCAACTATTATTCACTTTTAATTACAGACTAGACGTCATTCAAGTTTTTGCTAAATAGATTTGGGGCGTAGTTCCTCTGAAAGAGCATTTCGTCAGGCTTTTGTATCGGCTAACTGCCACACGACACATTCGTCCAGTATCTACCGGTAATTAAAAAGTTTCTAGCAATACCAATTATCTGATTCAAATTTTCGAACATTGCCATTTACTTGAAAACAAAGCACATAAAATATCATACACAAATTCACTTTTTTCAAAGTTCGGCTACTACCGCGTTATGCTATGCGCTGGCCGTTAATTGCCATTAATTTTTGTTGGTCATAATTATCTGTATTATCATTGAAAAAACCTATTGGCCTAATTTTTTCAGGAATATAGGTTGTGCTAATTTATTATCTTGAATACCGAATCGACACTTCCTGAGTTCGGAAGTGCCAATTCGGATGGCTTGAATTGTGTATTAAATTTAGCCAATTAATTGAACTATGTTTAGAAGATTTGAATATTAACACGTACGTAGTGATGATGCTCGAAAAGTTGAAAAATAAATATAAATCATTTGTTCTAACTAAATGTTAAGTGTTGCTTTATATTTCCATGACAACATTATTTGTATATGATGGTATCATTACAGGTACATTGTCATGTTGAACACGACCGAGATGAACATACGCAATACCTCAGCCTCACAGGCTCGGAACTTAGTCGGAAAGCTGATCACAAGTTAACAGCACTGATCGCGGTCGTCAAGTAAGTGTATTGTTAAAACTGCCCCCGTGTAGTAAATAAAGATTTCTAAATAATAATTTTTCTCCAGTTATATAGACGAATAGCGTGTCTTACGAGTTACGTAATAGAATATTTAGGTGAGA